TTAATGAGAGAGAAACTTATGGCTGATTGTTAGCATTAATGAACAACATTACTAAAAGCATGAAAAAGTAAAACCACAGTGTCATGAAGAGTACAGCAGCGCCAACAGAAGGCTATAGACCAGTTCATAATGTATCAAATGTCTTCCCTGCTGTACTAGCTCTTGCTGCATTCACTCATTTACTAACAATCAGACCTGTTATACAATTACACTTCTTAAGCCCTTGTGCTCTGTGGGCTCCCCGGTAATAGGACAGTTCTCTACAGTTGTCCCTCATTGCAAATCATGGCCCTACTGGAATAAAGGGAGGGTGTCACTCAGGTGCCTAATGAGCAAATGTGCTACACAGTCTATGTTCTGCACATCAAATGAAAATTTCCCCCTTAAATATCTGGTAATTAAATTAAAAATCAATTAACTTCACACACATTTATGCAATGAAAGGATGTCTAATGTACTATATTCCATGTAGGTAATTGGTCCTGTTTTGCCAGCTTACCTACTAAGATCCATTAATGGGTGTCTCAGTTATCAAGGGGCTTGATCCCAGTAAATCTCTCTTGCAAAAGTTTTTAAAGCAGAAGTAAATAAATTATTAACATTTCTCTATACACCTTCTACACGGTTAACAGAATAGGACTAAAGTCCCACAGAAGTGGTCCAAGCAGACATGTGCAACCAGTATTTTAACAAGGGGCTTCCACAAACATTTTCCCACTTAGTCTTTGTTAAACCCAATATGATGGGTCCGTGTGCTCTGGAGTACTGAGGGGAGAGAGACTAGGAAGTCCATTCACTTCTTTTCATTTAAAAAACAAACAAAGGTTTCTCCTGGCCATAACCAAAGGAGGAGGCAGCACCACTTTGCAAACCAACATATATTGTTTGGCACCTTGCTATAAATGTTTAGCATCCTCGCATCCTGAAAACGATACTGACTATAGGGATACTAACAGCATAATATTCATCTTTTGTCATTTGAAATGGAGTGAAGGTGAACAAGGCCTTTAAGAAGACCGGTCAGGATCCTCCCAGTGGTGTTAGTTGTGACTGTTTAGAGTGGCCACTAGGGGGCAAAGAGCAAGGAGGCTGTGTAAATGGGAAATACAAAGACAGTCTAAGACCATCTGGCGTTCACCCCCCATGGTGTGCTCCACATTGCTATATTTGCAATAATGTTCAATGCTTGATAACAATCATTATTCTAAAATTCAGTGTCATTGTTTGACTGTCCAAATAAGTTGCAGGATGTCAACAATAACCAGTGTCCCAGACAAAAACATCATTAAGCTGAGGTTAAAGCTGACAGTACATAGCAATAACATAAGAGTAAAATTAAAAAATGCAGATATAGTTATCAAAAACACCAACCATTAGCAACCTAGGAAGTTCAAAGTTTAACAGAAAAGAAACCTAAACATTTGAAAGTGGGGAGCTCTCAGTCAGAGTTCCAGCTACATGAAGGTTATGTCTGGAAATTGTCTTTTTTGGTCTGAGTTATTTTTACAATTTTGAACGTTCATTACTTGCATAGGGAAAAAGGAAGCATGATACCCTGTGGTACTCCTGAGCTTTGGAACTGGGAAAGACAACAGGAGAGGACTCTGCAGATCACTGGAGATGAGGGGGAAAGCGGAGAGCAGCTAACTCTTGTAGCAATCAGGAGCTGCATGCTTCCGAGCTTCCATGAGTCAGCTCCCATTAGCCCTAGAGACACTAAACTTTGATTCCTGTTCCCACTCTCAGGTTGGCCTCCCTACAGACCTTCTAAAGTCCACAGGCGTGTTGCAAACAGAAGTCAGCAGGAGGAGTGGACCAGAAGTGCATTCTACTGAGGGCCACGACAACTTGTGCAGATTTTAACATGTCCGCAGGGAGGCAAATATGGGAACAGAAGCAGGAATCTAGGTGTGGAAACTGCAAGAGCAGTGGAGTCAGGGCGTTAGTGGGAAGATGACTTTGGGAAGCCAGGAGGGCTGTAAAACATACCAGGCCAGGGAAAAAGTGGCACAGAACAGGATCTCTTTGGGCCCTCTGAACAAGAGGGGAACCTGGGGAATTTAGGATCTTCAAAGGGCTACAGGAGTCCTCCAAGCATGAGGAAGTTGGAACCCAGCTGCACATGTTCAACTATGTAATCTGCAGGTGTTTGTGGTTGCTATCTTGCCAGCTGCTGCCTATTCAGGGTTGTATCTTGTATAGGTTTCACACACTGTATGAAGTACAGTACCATCTATATTCACTGTTGGTTCTAAAAACATTTTACAATCTAGACTATTTACTTAAGACACAATTCCAGGGCTCCCCCATAGGTTTCAAGCTTATAGAAGCCAGCTCCTTGCATTCATTTTACTTCTTACTTAAATTACCACATACTATTTATTCTTTCAAGTACACTATCACCAGCTTTGGCTAGTAAAAGCAAATAAGATACCAGGGAGGTGGAGGGAGAGCTAAAAAAAAGGAAAATAACTGAAGTATTTTCCTGGTTAGGGAGGTGCATTTCAGACCCACAAGAATGCTATTTAAATATTATTTTTTCCAAGTATGCAGACAAGGTAGTGGATAGGTTAAAGGGATCAAGTGGGAGGAAAGAGTGACAAAACTTGACCTTCACTCCCTTGCTTACTCACAACTCATCTGTGAAACTAATGCAGATATTTTTTTAAAACCTCTGCAGCTGAATTCCCAGAGCCCTGTATTTTTATATCAGCCAATTTCTCTTTCAGCCTTTAGTGGGCACATTCTGCATAATAATGGAAAATAGAAAAGAAAATGGGCTGCATAATGAGATGTTTGCCAGGCAATGAGAGAGTGCTAAGTGGCCTTGTCTTCAGTGATGCTTTCATTTCCACACAAGACCTACCAGCCTCAGAAGTTGCTAACATTTTTCAAAAACCCAGGTTCCCTTGTGACATTTGCAACTAAAAAATTTTTGATTTAAAACTCTCCTGTATTTCATCGGTGGCATTTAACAGCTGAGAAGCCATTTTGTCCTTTGACTAAAGTTATAGAGAACCATGAAATTATTGCATTGTGATATGCTTGCATTGTGTTGGTTTGGTCACAGTGGCATCTATATTTGACATTGTGTCTTTCAGATAGAAAAGTCTAAATGCTGCAGAGAGGTACATTTAGCATTCTTTTTCAACCTCATCTCCCTAGCTGCTGGCACTCTTCTCTCTTTCTCCCTACCTCCTGGCAACTGAGAGTGGTATCTCTGCTCTTTCCCCTACTTTCCTGGATGTGAGTTCCATCCTTACCTGTAGTGGGAAAATGGGGCTGGGAGACAGATAACAATAGCTCTCACATGGATATGTTTGTCTGCTAAGCACTCCTCATTTTGCCTGGCAGACAAAAATCAGGGAGCCTCATAATTGGCCATTGTAATAAGTGTTTGTGGTCCTGGCAAACCGAATGGAAACACAGTCAGTTATATGGACTCCCCCTTAGAATCCGTAAAATCCACATGAGCCTTAAGAGCAAAACATTGAGGACCATAGTTTCTAAGTAATAAAATATGTAGAAAGCACACAATAGTCAGACCCGTCTGTCAGAAGATAGAGTGAAAATAGAAATGTTCTTAAAAATGAAAAATATTCACTATTCTGTAGTTTCCATCACACATTCTACATGGAATCTCTTCATATACACATAAGCACACACCCATTATTTGTGCATGTCCAAGCAAAAACACAATTTAAATTACCTTTTGCTTTAATTGGTACCATGTCAGAACTGTGAATAATAAACCAAGATCACTGCAGTTTGCACAGCCCCGTCCTCTCTCTTCCTCACAGCTGGCTTCTCATCCGAGCGCCATTCGCCTTGCCTAACCAGTCCCAGTCTCCTCTCCTTAGGCTTCTTTCTCATCCCAGTCTTCTTGCCCAGCTAGTGCAAGTCTCCCCTTCTGGGCTCCCTGTCCAAATCCTAATATTTCCCCTTCCAAGCATTTCCCATCACATGCTCCCAGTCCTAATCTCCTGGCCCAGCCAGTGCTAGTTCCCCCTTCCCAGCTCCTCATCTAATCTGCCTCTTCCCTCCCTCCCAGCCTCCTGTCATTCCCCATCTGCCACCATTTCCTGTTCGCCACTGGCTTCCAGTCCCAATCTCCCCCTCACACCCCTGGTTCTTCAGCCACTTTCAGTCTCCCAACTCGGGAGACTGAAAGTCTCCCACTGACTCCTTGTTCCAGTCTCTTTGACCTTCCAATCCTTGTTCTCCCCTCCACATCCAGATCTGTCTCCCCCTTCTCCTGCCCCCACTAGTTCCTAGTCCCAGTCTCCCCCATCCCCACCTCCCAGTCTCCTTATCCAACCAGTCCCAGCCTCCCCCACTCCTATCTCCTTCCCCAACCAGTCTCTAGCTCCCCTTCCCACACCCCCACCACCTCCCAGTCCCCATCTCCTTACCCAGCCAGTCCCAGTCACCTCCCACCCCAGCTTCAAAATCAAGTCCCCTCCCAACTTCTGGACACCGTTTCTCTCCCTCCCACTTGAGCCTCAGTCTCTCTGGCTACTAATCCCAATTCACTCTTTTCCTTCCCAGTACAGTCCTTGTCCTCCCTGCATCCGAGTCCGGGACTTTCCTCCTCCCTGCCTTCGATTCCAGTGTCTGGCTCCCCCTCGGAATGGAACTTACTCAGTCACTCTGTAGGGATAGTGTATGCACAGTCCTGTCAGTACTAGGATGGAGCATGCTCAGTGCACACAGAATCTTTGGAGGTTTTAGCTCCGAAAGTCTAAGTCTGTATTGAGCATGTGCAATCTGCAATTCCTAAAAGGCTTATAAATTTGGCCAAAATTGGTGTCAAGTATCAGAGAGGTAGCCGTGTTAGTCTGGATCTGTAAAAAACAACAGAGAGTCCTGTGGCACCTTTAAGACTAACAGATGTATTGGAGCATAAGCTTTCGTGGGTGAATACCCACTTCGTCAGATGTCATGCGTTATTAAGCAAAACCTAATAAATACAATTTGATGATTAAAACAGAGTAACGTACGTTGTTTTCCTCTCTCTTGCCATGGCGAGAAGCAGACCCTCGTAGTGTTGTCATTTTCAGTTCTGTTTTGGAACTGGGAGCATCTGAGGAACTCAGGCCACGAAGAATTCACCATCCCCAGAACTGGTTCACAACCTTCCTTTGCTGCCTCACAAAATGATCTACAGGGCAGGAGTCCTCGACTGGAGGAAAGAAAGAAAAAAGAAACAAAGAAATAATCTATTGTTTTACAAAATTATTTCTACTTTTTTCTCTATTTTTTTAATTTAAAATAAATCAACATTTTTGAGTAATTGTATGTTCAACAAAACTATGCAAAGTGATATGAAAGTGGATAAAATGATCTGGAACTAAGTCTTCATTATTCATCAAAGGTCCCATCTACACTGTCTTTTAAAATAAATTTAAATCCAAGTTAAATTCAAGCCAATTTCTTACTCAGGTCAATCCCGTCCAAGCTGAGCAGCCAAAATATCCTACAAACCAGACTGGCAATGAAGATTAAACATGATTTAAAAAAACAGTGTAACAGGTTTAAAGAAATTGTACTTGCCTATTTTATTTTCTCACTCTGACATATATGTATGTATACACCTGCTTCCCTTTGGTCTTCCCTAGTCAGACATACATACATACATACATACATACACACACACACACACACACACACACACACACACACACACACATATATAAATATATATGTAAAATCAGAACAAGAGAAAAATTACACTCATAAATGTGAAACACCTCCAATAATGACCTAATTAGATTTTTCTATTTTTTCTATATATTAATACATTTATGAATGATCTGGAAAGGGAAGTGATCAGTGAGGTAGCAAAATTTGCAGATGACACAAAATTTTTAAAGTTAGTCAAGACTTGAGAAAACTGTGAGAAGCATCAGAGGGACCTAATCAAGCTACACGAAAGGGCAACATGATGGCAGATGAAATCCAGTGCTGACAAATACAAAATAATACATATAGGAAGAAATAATGTGAAGTGTTACTAGATTCTAAATTAGCATTAGCAGCTCAGGGAGATGTGGCTATCATTGTGGCCAGCTCGATGAAACTCTGCTCAGTGTGCAATAGTGATCAAACAAACAAACAAACTGTATGAGGAACGGGATGGAGATTACTGAAAATATGATAACACCATTATAGAAAATAGAGGTATACCCTCATCTGGAATACTTTGTCCTATCTCAAAAAAGGCATATCAGCAACAATAGATTAAGTTTAGAGACAGGTGATGAGAAAAACTCTGATACGATAAATGATTGAAAAAAACTGGCACTATATCATCTTACAGAGGATACAAACAAGAAAGGAAATGATGAATATATACAAAATAGTAAATGATATAGAGAAGGTAAATCAGGAATTCTATGCACCCTTCATTATAATTCCCGAACAAGGAGATTCAATTAAATTAAAAGTTGGCAAATTTAAAACTGATAAAAAATGTTTTTTCATACAACACAACTAGCTTACAGAACTCATTGCAAGATACCATTGAGGGCAAGAGTTTAACAGGATTCAGAAAAGGATTATTTATATGGATTAGAAGAATATCTCAAATTATTAGAGTAAGGATTAAAAATAGTTCAGGGTTTTGAAGGGATAACAACTCTTTTGCTTGAGGAAATAAACCAGCTTCTAACTAATGGGGATTAGGAAGAAACTTTTCTTGTGGGCAGGTTATTCCATAACTCATTTCTTCAAGGTTTCTTGCACCTTCCTCTGAAGCAGCTGGTACTGGCCAATGTCAAAGCCAAGAAACTGGACTAGCTGGACCACTGGTCTGATCCAATATGGTAATTTCTAGGAACCTATGAAATATTCTGGCTTTAGAGTATGATCTCAGACCTTTCCAGGGTTAAAAGCAGGTACTGTGTATCCCGGTTGAGAGCTGGGAATCTTCAATAGTATAAAGTTCACATTTCTAGAACTCTAGTACCATAAGATGTCAGAAACTAAAGCTTATGCAATAGCTGGTATCAGCCCAGAACTGAGTCTTGCTCATCCTCAGTCCCCAGGAAGGGAGTAATTTTTACAGGAGAAATTCCAAGTTTGTGGGAACAAGGAAACAGTTCTTTGACAGGCCAATTCAAATAAAAACGGCTCCTGCTCAAAGCCACTCCAGGGTTTGGAATATTAGAGTAAGTTCTGGGGAGATGGCTTAGTAGGACATATCTGAATGGTTTGGGATGACCAGCATTACTCCTGCATGTCTGTCATGAGTGAGCTATGAGCATATCCTAAACTCATGCTAGTAAAACCCTTATACCTCTCTACACCAACCATTCTAGTAGAAATAACCCCACAGCGATTTATAATGTACGTGATTGGGAGTGGTTATTTATCACTAAGGGACAAGTCCTGTCCTTTCCCCTAAAGCTGTGGAGGAAGTGCAGTTTCTCAGTGCAAGGTTGGGTGCCTGATTTGGGAACCCCTACTCATTAGGAGCCATCCGCATGGCAGAGTGCAGGATGTGGGGAAGGAAAGGGCCAGGCCAGAGGATCTGCCACCATGCAGGTCCTCTACCCCACAGAAGGGATGTGTAAGGAGCATGGAGGTCTAATTCAGCAGAGCCCCCAGGGAGGGGCTCTGAATATGCTCCAGGCCTGTGAGAAAGGATTCTTCCCTCTTGCTCATCTACTCACAACCCAGTCTGGCTACTCAGAGTGAGCACGGCAATAAGCGTTCAGCCCTAAGTGACTACAGTTTGGAGACTATATAGGCCAAGATTTTCATGTCCATATGTATAGGCTCCTAAATAAGTGGCCTGATTTTCAGAGGTGCTAAGCACTCAGCAGCTCCTGCTGACTTCACTGTGTTTTCCTGTTTAGTGTATAAATGGATTAACTGGTCAATAATAACAAAGTAATAACAAAATGCTGGGGATCAAAAAGCTACAGTAGCTGTCAGATTACCAGTGGTGCAGGGAAGAAAGATGAATCAGCTCACATGTTTATGAGAATGAGCCTTCTATTTTATAAATATAAAAACTGTATTAGATCAAAATCACAGGAGCCTGAGATTTCAGTTTTCCCCCTTGACCTATTGTGTTGACTAGTGTTTCTGAAATCAGTCTGATGGCATGTCTCTGCTTTAAACACTAATGAAGTAAATGTACAAGCAGTACCCTTATCATGTTTACAGGGCATCCTGATTGACTGTGGAGCTGGAACTGGTGTTTAGAGATATGTTCTGGATATGGAACTGTCTTTAGAGATATGTTCCTAAGTCACGCTAAGGACTTTCACACATGCTAAATGCACTTTACACTCTGAAGTGCAGGAATTATCTCATATCTGAGATAAAGATCTGTATCTCTAAACTTGTCTCTTGTGGCACCCTGAGTGATTATCTGTAGTTGGCAGTTTGTTTATTGCTTGGAAATAAGCACTTACATTCTAAAATAGTACCTTTCACCACGACTTTATGTCATGCTGAAGGCAGATAGTTTCGATAGCATGTAAAAGGTCTGGCTGTGTGCAGAAGAAAAACAAATGGCTTCTGGATTCTTCTGTTGACAGTAAAAGCTGCTGGTTATTAATATTCTCTTGATGTTGCCAGCACACTGTTCTGGCAATTAAAGACTCGCTATCAGAACCAGTAAAACCACTTCAGATAAAGTCATTCAAAAAACACTTTTCCTGTTTTTTATGGAGCCTATTTTTGGAGGGAGAGAGAGAGTGAAAATATGAGAGGAAGCATGTGTGTATGAGGTCTTTCAGTGCCTGTCAATGTTTATCTGCAGAACAGGCCTAACAGTCCCTATCTCGCTTCTGGGAATATGGCACGACAAAATTAATTAACAATTTCCTTCCAGGCACTTTTATTTTTTTTTATCCCAAAATGCATGTATGGGTAATACAAATAGCTTGATAATAATTTGGAAATTACTAGGCTATTAAAGGACAATTGCATGGTGATTAAATAAACCAACAGAAAGTATGTGCTTATGAAAGGTTATAGATGCATGATCATAAAAGGCTATTTATTTCTGGGCAAAATTACTTATGCTTATGAAAAGGCTATATATGCATGATCAAAGTGACTTAGTGCTTATGAAAGGCTATATATGCATGATCATGTGTGGGCAAAGTTACTCACATGAGTAGTCCCATAGACTTGCATCAGTAAGGGTTGAACAATTAAGTCCATAATGTGTGTGCATGTATATAGAAAATTCTAGAAGAAATAGTTTCATAGATGTTTAAAATGGTGGTGAAGTTACGTGAGGCTGAACTGTTCCAATATCTCAGCAATAAATGAGGTGCCATATATCTAAAACAGAACTAGAGATTAATTTACTGAATTTAGCCATAATCTATATAGGCTGATCTTTTAAAGTCCCAACTGGTTATTCAAATTTAAGAAAATGTGTAAATTACAATATACAACTACATTTGAATGGAAAGATGTAAGGGGCATAATTAATGAGACTACTGACTAATTCATTAACTATGAGTCTCTCATTAGTCTGATAGAACTCCTCTGTTGGACTCAAGGCACAGTTAAAAGTCCATCTATTCTTTTAACCCAGGGGTGGCTAACATGTACATTGCCAAAGAGCCACAGTATTACCTCAGCAGCCCCCCCTCAGCTCCCCCCCCCCACCTGCCAGCAGCCCTGCTGATCAGCGCCTCCCCATCCTTCCCCATGCCTCCTGCGGCATGCAGGAGGCTCTGGGGAGAGGGGGAGGAGCAAGGGCATGGCAGGCTCAGGGAAGGGGGAGGAAGGAGTGGAGGCCTTGGGGGAAGGGGTGAAGTAGGGGCAGGGCCTGTGGCAGAGTTAGGGGTTGAGCAGTGAGCACATCTCTCCCTCTCCCCCCGGCACATTGGAAAGTTGGCTCCTGTAGCTCCAGCCCCGGAATTGGTGCCTATGCAAGGAGCCACATATTAACTTCTGAAGAGCCGAATGCAGCTCTGCAGCCACAGGTTGGCCACCCCTGTTTTAACCTTTGCCTGGTGGGGTAATGACAGGGTTATTTGTTATGTTTAACAGTTCTATGGTTTGTGTCTATTTATTTTTAGTTAACACTGGCTAACTAATTTTGTATTGTTTTTAAGATTTGTACAAACACAGTGACAAAGGAGAGTGACACATTTTTTAAAATATTTTTAAAAATAAAGTACTTTGACAATCTCATATGAAAGGCATTAC